AAAACACGACCACCATTCCATCTTTAATGACATATCAAGACAAGACACTAACGGATCCACAATCCATTGTCGACAAATTTGCTTCTTATTTTGCCGATTCCTCCGCCAAACATTTAAATAATACTAAAGTGTCTGAATCATATATAGACTCTAGCATTCTTCGTTTACAAGAAATTTCTGAAAATGAAGTTTAAAAAGCCTCAACTAAACTGAAATCAACTCTTATGGTGGGTCCCGATCTTATCCCCTCATTTCTGCTTCGAGATTGTAGAGTTGTATTAGCATTTCCAGTAAAAATTATCTTTAACTCAGTTATAAGCTCTCAACAATTTCCACAACAATGGAAAACCTGTAAGGTATGTCCTGTGTTTAAAAAAGGGATAGATCAGATGTTGCCAATTACAAGCCAATAGCGATAATTAACAATGTTGCTAAAGTATTCGAATTTATCATTAATGAAAGTAATTCGCAGTATATTTCTAATAAAGTATCCATAAGTCCACACGATTTTAAGTCTAAGAGATCCATTGTTAGTAATTTAACATCGATAACTCAATTCCTGTGTAATAATCTGGATCAACATCAGCAGATGGATGTAGTGTACACCGACTTCTCGAAGGCATTTGATCGAGATTTATTGCTTCATATCTCAATAATCGATTTCAGTTTGTGCAGTATCGGGGTTTTAAATCTTTTAAATTCATCCAGCAGTCTGGTCTATTGTAGACTCCCTCAATGTGCACTATTTGCTTTATGCTGATGACCTTAAATTGTTCCTATTATCTCATTTTCAATTAAAAAACCTTCAACGTTGCACCATCTGTTGCTTTCAGTTGGTAACACAGAAAAACCCTACGTAGAGAACTTAAAATTTTATGTTGGCATGTTAGTATATTGTCAGCGCTTCGTATAAAACTTGCATGGTGTCATTCATTTCGTTAATTTAAAAAAACTGAAAAGTGCGAAATCTTTTAGACGTTAAGTTGAAAATGGCCTTCGTAAAATGTTCTGATCTTATTTTGGAATTAGCTTCAAATATACGAAAAATTGGCGTCGACTTTCTCGGTATCAAACTGGTTTCCATAATACTTATTTCTACGATAACTGATACGGTTTTTCTTCTTAAATTAGGTATCTCGATCTAATGTAAGGCAAATTTTAAAATTATACCGTGACGCAGAAACACTGATTTCATCTAGGAAGTTCTGGGGGAAGGAAAAAATTAGACGAGTTTGAAAATCACTTTTTTAAGGAAGAGTTAGATCGAGAAATACAACGCTATAAAGGAACCGGAGAATATTTTACCCTGGACAAAATCCTGGCGTTTGCAAAAAATAATTTAGAATACCTACAGTGGATCAAGAAGTTCTTTATACAAAGTCTAAAATCAATGGGTTTCAAGTATAAATTTGAAAATAATCGGAAGATACTTACAGAAAAACCATATGTAATTGCCAAACGTATAAAATTTCTAAAAAGTTATCTCAAATATAAGCAGGATTACCCCGATTAAATTCATACTCTTGGTTGAAACATGGATATATAAACACGGTTCACAGCTTAAGACTTGGGTCGATTACAATATGCCCAAAAAATACAAAATTCCCAAATTTGAAGGCACGCGGTTCACTGTGTTGTTCAGAAGGTTTCATTAACGGATGTAACTTACTTTTTCAAACAATGACAGGGACTATCATAAGGCTATGAATCAATTTTTATTCAAACAATGGGTGCTAGAACAGCTTGCACCAAGTTTGAGGCTCAATTTAGTAATAATTCAAAAATAGTAGTCATACTAGATAATGCTAGTCACCATTCGACCAAACTAGAAAATCCACCTACAAAATCTTCAAAGAAAGCTATTCTTCAAGATCACCTGGCCAAATATGATATCACTTTTGATCCAAAATTGACGCAGAAATAGTTATGGGCCTTAGTTGAGCCAACCATTGCAAATGCCCCGATCAAATATGAAATCGATAGGTACATTACTGGCACAAAAAAGCATTGATGTGTTGCTATTGCCACCTTACCATTGCCAGTACAACCCAATTGACTTGGCATGGTCCCATTGTAAAGGATTTTACAATTTTTCCATGAGAATTCCAATGGCAAGGATCGTGTTACACACTTGTGGATTGAAGCTTTGGATCATTTTACGTCACAAATGTGGCAAAATAGCATTCACCACTGTGAAAAACTAATACAAGCAGACTGGCGTAAGGAAATGGGCATTTTAAGCCTATTTGTAAAAGTTTTTTCTTATCCTTTCAACGCGTCCTGTCAAACACTCCCATCTACAACGTTGCCGGTTGTTCCCGATATTATTGTGTCAAAAATTTGCGAAGTTGATGACTTTTTAATTAAAAAATAGACTTTACCGATTAGATGCACAAATGATTGCCTTATTCTACAACAGGATATCGGCAAAATTTACGACAGAGGTTCTGAAAATAACCTTATTCTCATATATCTAAAAGTTCTAGTTATATTGCTAACTCTTCAGAAGTAACATAGAAACGGTGTCCACGGACAAAAAGAGACGGAAGATATTGTTTTCTATCTATAAGAGTACCGAGGGTATGTACACAAAATAAGAGCGAAAGTACGAAATGTCAAAACGCATCCAGTCACGCTAGCGACTACAGATCAAGCAAGTACGAGTGTATGCGCAGTACTGTTTGGTACCACAGAGAGACAGAGAGGTCCGATATATTGCTCTGGCGTTGTGTTTTCAGACTCTTTTGAGGCCAGTTAGCAATATAGTAGTATTAGATATATGCTTATTCTTAATAAAGATAAATGTTGTGTAGTGTCATTTACTAAAAAAGTCATTAATAATATTAGGTACAATTATGCAATTCATAATCAACTCATAAACATATCCAATACATTCAAAGACCTTTGTGTTATCTTTGACACTAAACTTTCCTTTAAATGTCACATTGAAGCAATTACTTCAATAGCGTATAAAACGCTAGGCTTTGTTTTACGCAGCTTTAAATATTTTAATAATCCCACAATGCTCCTTGTCTTACATAAAACACTGGTAAGAACTAAACTTGAATATGTATATTAGGGTGATTCAAAAAAAAAAAATAATGTTTTCTTCAAACGTCAAAAAAACATGACTTTATGTACCTCAACAAATGAACTTAAAGTATGACATTTCAGCCGCTCCTCACCACCGACAGATAAAAATTTTTGCTGCCGCTACAGGCGGCAGCAAAAGTAAAACCATAGCAACAGCATACAAATCATTCCAAAGCACACTGAAAAACCATAGTAACAGTTAACTTAATTCATTCGTTTTAAAGAATTGATATGTAATTCCATTTTTTTAAATTACTTCTCTAATTGAATTGCAGACGTTTGAAGAAAAAATAGCATGTTTTATTCGGAGAAAAATGACTTTTCGTGGCTCATCTGTAATTGCCGGCCTCGCGCGCTCGGCCGTCAAACCTACAGATTCGCCACGAAAAGTCTCATTTTAGCTCCTAATAAAACAATATACTATTTTTTTTTGTGCAAAGAGGTTCAAAAGTTTCTTTTCAACGTAAAAAAATACCAGTTAAAATTTGAGCTCTTAATATTAATATTAAGACCGTCCGCATCGCGTTTTTCTATTTCCCATAAGAATAACATGGGAAAATTTTTGTTTGCACCTTCTGATTTTTATTGCTAGCCCGTCGTGTGTCGTGAAAAAAATTCAATCACATATTTTTATAGAGAATTGAACGCTCTACAAAAAGTGTCTCCTATGATTGTGCGAGAAACCTGATAGTTGAAGAGTTATTTTAGGCTAAAGTTAAATTTATCCAAATTTTGACGTTTTTGATGCATTACAATAAATTTGATGGTCTTATTGGAATAAATCACCACAAAAATTTATACACATTTTAAATTTAGTTTTTTAAACAGTAATTGTTTATAATTTTATGCTATAATAAGGCCAGTAAAACTCTTTCCGAACATTTTCAGCATCAGTGGGTGAAAAAATCATAGTCAGGTTTCTCGCAAAATCATAGGAGACACTTTTTGTAGAGCGTTCAATTCTCTATAAAAATATGTGATTGAATTTTTTTCACGACACACGACGGGCTAGCAATAAAAATCAGAAGGTGCAAACAAAAATTTTCCCATGTTATTCTTATGGGAAATAGAAAAACGCGTTGCGGACGGTCTTAATATTAATATTAAGAGCTCAAATTTTAACTGGTATTTTTTTACGTTGAAAAGAAACTTTTGAACCTCTTTGACACGAAAAAAAAAATTATTTTTTTTTTTTGAATCACCCTAATGTATATATATAATTTTGTATCATCTCCTATTTATAAAATCCATATAGATGCACTTGGAAAAATTCAAAGACATTTCACCAAAAACTTTTTATTTATAGTTAAAAGGGAAGATCCTCCTCGAGGGTATTCTCAAAATGTTATCTTAGAAAGCGTTCAACTTACAACTCTGGATAGTAGGCGCAGATATTTTTTCGTTAAATTTCTGTATCAATTATTATTAAACTATTGTATTGATTGTTCTGAACTGCTAGCAAATTTCTATTTTCGGGTACCAAGATTCAATTCTCCAAAACACTGTTTTTGCATTGTGATGCACCGAAAACAAATATTCTGATAATGTCACCATTGCACCAAATCATGAACATTTATTCAGCCACAGATTTTGACATCTTTGCATGAACACACGCAATTTCTTCTCAGTTCTTAGTTACGACATCTAATAAACACTACTTTCTAATATGGAACCAGTAGTATCCTTCTATCTATGTATTTAGAACAATTAAGATACTCCTTCTTATGTTGGCTTATAATTGGACTTAGATCTGTTAGGCCACCTATCCACAATAATAATAATATGGAGTAGTCTTAATAAAATTGATGTCGGATTTCTAAAGCGGGAGGGTTGAATTTATCGCAATGTCAACAATATATTTATTCAGATTTCCTTCTATAAAAAAATTTACAATTCACTCTTTTCAGCGCCGCCCTCATCCGTTGAAATTTTAGACCACCGGCATTTTTCAAAGATAGAAATAAAAGAAAATGAAGAGTTCCATCTCGAATGCAGAGTGCGAAATGCAAAACCCGCAGCAAAAATTGTCTGGTACAGAGGAATCGTAGAATTAAACATACGTAAGCACTTTAAATATTTGCTCGACTTAGGATAACAAACTTTTTCACTGCAGCCAATCGCGATGATCAAATAATTGAAGTTCCCGGGAAAAACGGGGACAAAAGACTTACCAGATATGACACGCATTCTCGCATATCGTTGAAGCCAACAGCTCAAGATGATTATGCCAGATACACGTGCGAAGCGAGGCACGAAGCATTATCTTCCGACATACATATGAAAACAACAGTGCAGCTTAGCGTATTTTGTAAGTAACTTTACTCTTTATCGTTTAATACACTCTGATTCCGAATGTGCTCAGATCCGCCTGGTTTGCCATATATTGAGGGGTATACGGAAGGGAAGACTATCCGACGAGGCCAAACCGTGGAGTTGGCGTGTCGTAGTAGAGGAGGCAATCCTCCAGCCCAATTAATCTGGTACAAGAACGGCAAACAAATCCAAAAGGCGTACAAAACGGCCGCAAGAGTTTCACAAAACGTTTACATCTTCACAGCGGGCGCCAGCGACAACATGGCAAGATACAAGTGCGAATCTAGCAACATCATGTCCAAATCTCCGTTGAAAGCCGAAGTCGACATGACCGTTTTATGTAATTAACTCCGATTATTGTCGTAACGTTCCAGTACTATTTCGTTTTTTTTTTTTAGTTTCTCCAGCACGTGTCACCATATCAGGTAAAACCGAGGCCAAAGTTGGCGATCTAGTTACCTTGACTTGCACAACCGCAAACTCGAATCCACCTGCAGAAATGAAGTGGATGGTGGCTGGCAGACAGATTAGAAATGCCACCTCCAGAACTCTTGTTTCTCCAGAAGGAGGCTGGATTACAACGTCCAACATCACAGCCGTTGTTGAGCCTAACAGGACAAGTTTAGTTGTAACTTGTCACGGATTGAACATGCAGTTAAGAGAAAATGTAGTCTCTACGCATACTATCAACGTTTTATGTAAGTCTTCTTCGTCGTCTTGGACGTCTTATAATGTATTCTCTTATAGATCCACCAAATCCGCCTTTTATTCATGGATATAGATATACGGAGAGGTCGTATATACCGTCGGGGACCATGCAAAAGATCTCGTGTACATCATATGGAGGAAACCCTTTGGCTACTCTGACGTGGTATAAAAACGACAAGAAGATCAATTCAATTATAAAAACGACTGACAAATCGGTAACGGCAGAAATAACGATCGTAACAAATGTTACTGACAATAAAGCCAGATACAGATGTGAAGCGGCGAATTCAGCAATCGATATTCCATTATTTGAAGACATCACTATGAACGTGTATTGTAAGCGATTCATCATGGTACATTATTTTCTAGTTTCGTCTAAACGTGTCTTTGTAGTTCCTCCCGATTATGTGACAATTCGGAAAGATCCTGTAGAATTAAAACCAAACGAGCAAGCAACGTTAACGTGCGACTCGGGTTCAAGTAATCCCCCAGCTAAAATATTATGGTGGAGGGACGGCATCCTCGTACAAGGTTTGTACAACGCGACGAAAGCAGGTCTTCATGGAGGCACCGTGTCGACGACCGAACTAAAACTTAATATCACCGAACAACTTAACGGAATTGTTTACACGTGTCAAGCTACTAATGAAGCCTTACGACGTTCCGCTCACGACACCATCACTCTCCAAGTTTTATGTGAGGATAAACTCTTGGCGCTAATATGACATCTCTTAATCCTTAATCCTACACTTTTAGATAAACCCGTTTTCGATAAAGATAACGAAGAAGCGGTCACAGGAGTAGAAGGCGAACCACTGATCGTCTCGCTGAAAGCTGATGGCAGTCCGCAAAATATCGCATACACCTGGACCAAAGACGGCCTACCGATTATACAATCGTCAACTGGTTCTGGTGTGGAACGAATCATCTCCGACGGTCCTGTTTTAAATATAACAAGGTTAAGCAGACATGACGCTGGCACGTACACCTGCGAAGCGATAAATTCGCAGGGTAGTTCGGTCATTCAGATTAACATTACTGTCCAATGTATGTTCAATTGCTATCCAACCATGTCACTCAGTTTTACAGTAAATCAAATTGCAGATGCGGCGGCGATCGTTGCCACAAGCGAGAGTGTGATAGTGAATCCGAATGAAACTGCCATACTCTGGTGTACAGCGGATGGCAATCCGTTGTCTGATGGTACGATTAGGTGGAAAAGAGACGCTTTTCCGGATTTCGATTCCCGCACTTCAGTCATGTATCATAAAACAGGAACGTCGTATTTGAAGATAACTCATGTCACAAGGAACGATTTAGGAAATTTCCAGTGCACTGTCAACAACGGAGTTGGGAATGTTACAACGAAAGATGTGATGCTCATAGTGAAACGTAAGTAATCGAATTCGCAAATCGGTTTTTAATTTTAACGAGTTACAAACACAGATAAACCTGAAATCGACGAACATCCTGCTCTGCTGAAATTTGCAAGCGATGAGGGCGACACGGGGAAAGTTATTTGCAGGAGTCAGGCCTCTCCTCTAGCTAGATACTCTTGGGCTCGATCAGGGTGGCCAATTACTGCCAACACTACAGGAAAATACTACTCTACTTTTAGACAGGTGAGCTTGGAATAATCTCGATAGAGTGGCAGATTTACACAAAAGCTTTATGCTTTTCTTTTTCTTCATTCTTCAACGTCTTTGTTTTAATTTTCAGATCGATGCTTTAACGTCTGAATCCGTCCTGTACATTACTCACGTAACTTCATCCGATTACGGTAAATACGAATGCGTTGCGAGAAACGAACTAGGCTTCTCTACAATTTCACCGAGACTTGAAGTAACTTCTGCTCCAGATACGCCGACCCTTCTAACAATATTAAATGTGACTCACGATACCGTCACACTGGGATGGACACCTGGTTTTGACGGTGGCCTGAAAGCCTCTTATCTCATTAGATACAGGCGAGTGAATGATGATGGCTATAAATATGTGGACGTAGTGCCTCATAATGCGATTATATTTACAATACGTAATTTGGAAGTTAACACACAATACGTGTTTTCCATTATGGCGATGAATAAAGTGGGAAACAGCAAGTTTATTACTGATCTGTTGTCGGCGAACACATCAAGTGAGTTTTTCTTTTGTTTCGCTTATTTTGCTTACTCCAATGTTCGCATTTGCACTAACACGTTCTTTGTTTTTTCCACGCAATTCTTTATTAACGAACTAACTCTAGACAAAGTTCCTCCGTCTAATTCGTCACCCAGCATAGATGAGAAAAACTTGAAAAATTTTCCCGATTTCCCTATAATAGTGGGCACTATTCTGGGCACCTTACTAATACTAATGTACGTCTTGCTAATTAGTTGCTTACACAGAAGATCCAAGAAACGTATTTCAGGTAATTAATACGTTTTATTTTCTTTTGTCTAATGTACAACGACCATATCGATAAGATTGTTCCGCCAGATTTGTTGGATAAACAGGATTTACCGAGAATTGTTATTAGTGTTTCTGTTATTGGTATTTTGTTTTTAATTGCCAACATCGTATTAGTTGCCGGTTGCATTCTTAGACGAAGAGCTAAAAGAATCCGCGGTTCGTTTTCACATTTGATATTTTATTTACTCGAGCATTTTATTATTGACCGCAGTAGTTTATATACTTTCATTTTTTTTTTTTTCAGAACAAAATAATCAAACTCGTACATCGGCTACCATCGAAATCTGTGCTCCGAATAGCCACAACGATACCGTCACAGATGCAACATTATCTTCATTTAATGAGAAAAGTGAAACTTACAATAACGAAGAGAGTAACAATGATTGCGTGGTAACTATTTTTGAAGGAAGTAACAACGATTGCATGGTAAGTTTTTTTTAATAAATACTTTAGCACTTTTCATTTTTCACGACATGATCAGTACTAATTCATATCAAATTTTCTGCTTTCTTAGATTAAACAACTCACTTGTGATTCTAAATAGACCATGTATATGTGAAAATGATGAGAAAAAAAAATGAACCCTTTATATTTTTGTAAAACTTTAAAATGTTTGCAAAATAATATAATTAGTTTCATGATCAGAGACAACAAGATGTGAATAAGCATTCAGATAGTCTTTTTATTTGACAAAGTAGCTACATCTGTATGATCGTAAATAAATAAATTATTATAAGTAGTGTTGCCTTAAAACTATAATATGTATTATGACGAAGACGATTTTTCAAACCGCCATCAATTTTTTACACATGCGGTTTTTTTTTTTCATTTTATATCAATAAGTTTTTAATTAAATAAGAATTTTTATCAGAATAGGTTAGTCCTAATCTTATAACTGTGTGAAAAATTAATTGTTTTCTGAATGCAGGAACACAATTTACAGCAGCTTAGGTAATAAAATTCGAAGGAAACTCTAGGGTATAAAAAATCATTTCAGAACAATACTCCCCGATTGCTTCATCCAAAACTTATTTTTTATGAATTTTTTATTGCATACTTTTAAAATGGTTTGTCTGTTCATTTAACATAAATATATGTCGTCAAAAGTTTAAAAATGGTCTAATGTAATGCAAACAACGCGGAAATATCACTTACTTATGCACAACAGTGTGAATGAATGCGTTTTTCACTGTGTTTTCTTTTATCAAACAATCAACGCCAACTCGATGACTTTTTCAATTGAACATCCATTACAGAACAATAGTGTCACTACTAAGAACGTGTGTATATGAATAATATTTATTAAAATGTTGGTTTTGAATTCGAAAATTATATAAAAAAACTGGTCTAAAGACAGTACTTTTCTTGTTGTGGCTATTATGTTTTTTTCGGGCTACATTTTTAAATAAATTGAGGATTAATTTTTTCCATTTTGTCATTATTTGGCATTGACATCTTTGTCATTTTTTTCTGTGATTGCTATGATTGCGGTAAAAAAAATACCTCGAAGTCGTCTCTGGGGTGTATGATATGTTGCCTATGCAAAAATTTTCAGGTGTGAACAAATAAAGTGGAATGATAAAATGAACAACCTGTGTAGTACTTGTAATTTAAGATAAATAAGCCATAACACAGATATCAACCTGTAGACGTGACGGTGAAACACAAATTAAACTAAATCATGGTTTCTACGAATTCCAATAACCGGATGACAATGCGACGGTCCAGACTTTTTTATTGCTCTGACTTCCCTTTATTGAATAAAACACTACATTTTATTTCGTTTTTGGAAGCTGTAATTCACATTTGGAGTACCAAATTGACCAGTAGACTCCATTACTACACGTCCATAGATTATCTTCTATAAGAAAAAACAACTTGGAAGTGTTTATGTTTATACATCGGAGGAACGTCACGTAGAAATTAGTTTGACTTGAATACGTTCGATCCCTCAAAACAAAGAAACACAACAATTAACTAGTCAGCTACAATCTACAAAATGTTCTGAACATCATTATTATAATTCTTGTTAAATAAAGACGTTTGTATTTTCACATTTTCGAGAAAATGGGATGACTCGTTCTTAATTTGATCAATAAAAAATATGAATGCTAGGATCAATCACAAGTAAAAACTCATATTTTGCACATATTGGCCAGAATTTATTCCGCAAAATTTTGAGACTACGTCATCAATCTTTTGGGGGAAATAAACAGATTTATTTGGAGTAACACTTTACCATGCTTACAATGACTTTAAAACGTCTGCAAGATTTCAAAGTATTCAGTTTTGCAATTCTTGATTTAATCAATAAAATTAATTGACTCAGTCATTAATTTTTTTTAGACACTCCGTATAAGCAAATTTAAAAAATATTAATGCAGTGTTAAATCATCAGTATAGACTGATCATTCTTTGTACGTTTAAGATAGCATTTTTTCAGCAAAATTGTGGGGTAGCGTCATCAATTTTTTATGGGGGATGAGCAAATACATTTTGATCACAAATTTATCTTGCCTATGATAACTTTAAAACATCCCCAAGGTTTCAAAGCATTTGGTTCTGCAGTTTCTGATTTAATCAATAAAATAGATTCACGCATTCATTAATTTTTTTTAGTCACCCTGTATATGCAAATCCAAAAAATATTAATGGAATGATAAATCACAAGTACGAACTCATCATATTTTGTGCATTTTACATTGTGAAATTTTAAACAACAAATAATTCTTACTTGAGAATAAGATTGAACATCAGATAATTTATATGATGGAAACATTCATCAACAAAATATTTGCAAAACAAAAACTAGCAAAGATTTATGAAAACAAAAGATCTGGTGTGAAATAAACTTTTGCAAATAAAAATATTACGTCAGGTTAAAGACTATAGAGCATGAAAATTTACGTTCAATTAAAATTATACAACAAAGAAAATTACTGATGTTAAAATTGGGAAATAGAGAAATATTGTATGAAGTGTAAAATTGCAAAGCAAACAAAATTTGCGTGAGATTAATATTTGGCACACTTTATCAACAGTTCAAACAAAGAGTTTACATTATGCCAAATTATGTCTTTATCCAAGTGATTGGTTACTTAAAAACAATTTACTTTGGGAGTTTATAATACCGCGAACTGGTTACCCCAACAAAACACATAATAAATAAACACAAAAATATCCAGGCATCGTTGCGAGGAAAAAGCGTCCCGGTGATGTAATCTTTAACGTTCCGAGGAAATGCCTCGGTGATGTAATCAATATTTTTCTACTCCCACATAGTAATCCATGAATTACAAACTATTTAACCTCACAGTAAATCCATAGTTACACACACTTGCATGTAATGGCCAGTATATATTTATATATATATTACGTGCCTGTTTGAATGCTTTCCATAGCAACAACTATAAACAATAAATATTTAGAACTAAAATCGAAAAAGGGGTATGAAATGTTTTATCAGAAATTCAATAACTGGCGATCCGAAAACAAGGCTACATCATTTTGAGAGACCGTTCTCATGGCATATTTTGGTAAATCAATGCTGAATTCAAGCCATCTTCATTATGCAGCATTTCTAAAAACGTAATTTTCTGGATATAAAAGCAAAAAGTCAAAAACACTCACAGCAACAGAAGTAATAGTATTTAACATTACTAGCATGGTAAAAGGGTTTTTACTCGCGGACAGAAGGATATGTCCCCTTCTGGAGTCAGTAAAAACCCTTTTACTGTGCGTGTATTGTTCAATATTTTATTTGTTTTTCACTTGTAAATAACTATTATAAATTATTAAAAACTCTAGAAGGTCCAATATTTGAAGAAACATCGTATGAGCTTTAGACGTATTGCCTTGGAAACGCACGTCAGCATAGCACTTGTCATAGCATTTACTGCGTTGTCTAGTTCTGTCATTTAGATTTTTCGATTTATCGTTTTCGATGTATTGAAATGAGTATGGCGCAAGCTATATTACTAAGGAAGCAGCAGTTGTGAGTGAAAATTTACCTGAATCAATTTTGGCTGTCATTCCAACTTATAATTGTTTAAAATGTTTAAAAAACATGGCAATATGAGCACGAGCAGGGCTGTAAAAATTTTACTGGCTATAGTCAGTTAAGTGACATTTTCATGTTGAATACAGTGACTCGGTAAATTGATGTTTACAAGTGAGGAACAAGTAAACAAGTTTATAAAAGAAGCTCGTGACATAATTCATTTATTTACAATATTTTATTTTCTGACAACTCTCACTTTATAGGTAGTATTCATAACTGCTATTTCTGGTGCTTGTCGGCAACAAGAATTGAAACATTTAAAACAAAATGACACAGAGGACACTGGAAAAATATTTGTTGTGAAAATATCTAACAGCAAATCAAAAATATCTAGACATTTTATTATTCAGGGATTGTTTTACCAAATTTGTAGAAAATACATAATTCATTCTTTGTGCGCAAAGTAAAGATGCTAACATCACACAATTTTTTTAGCTAGTTGTATGTAGTTTCTATAATTATATTGTTAAAGAAAAAACTTTGATTAAAAAAATTAGGTCGTAGAAAAAGTATATAACACAACTCTGGTGGTAAGCTAATTACAAATCTATTTTATATCACTCCCTCGCTACGCTCGCTCGTGTACATACTTCTTCGTTCGTAATTAGCTTCTTACTACCCTCGATATGTAATATACTATTAACGCTGCGAGGAAATGCCTCGTTGATGATGGGAAACGATGATAATTGTCTAGAGGAGAGAAATCTTTAAATGAGCCCCCCCCCCCCCTTTCAGTTTACGAAATATGAACTTTGTTAATTTAATTGCCGTTAATGAACTATTAGCAATCTTGTGTGCAGAATTAAGAAGTGTTATAATATAACACTTAAGTATATGCATCCATAAACGTATTTATAACTTGTAAACAAAGGGTGTTATCCTGACTAAGTGAATTTCATGAAATCTCGTAGTAAATGTATGTCTAAGCAAATCTACAAATCTAATGTCTGTTAAATTATGTTAGAACTAGTTAACGATTAAAATCCTAACCTGATCGGTGAATTAACAAACAGTAAAACAAATTTACAGCACGTGTAGCGTCGATCCAAAATTAGCACTTTTTCGGATTAGAAAGCCGCAAGATTTAGCTGCGCGTATTGGGGAAAACTGTGGCGTTAAACAAAGGCTTCCTCCCTTTTATTAACTACCAAGTCAACCAATTTAACCTTGCTAACTTACAGCGTCTTTTTCACCGTGCTTACACATTCCGAAACAAACAATAACGACGCTTTCACCATGCTCTCGCCATGCCGCTATCTTGTCTACCACTACCGCTCGCTAACGTGCACATGGTTGCCTGTGTTTAACGATTTTTTTTGTTTGGAATTTTTTTCAAATCCAAATTGTTCAAACGTGATTTCGCGCCGCTGTTAATTAATTCCAGCGCGACATTTTGATTCAAATTCGGTCACCACAATGATGTAATTTTGTTCACACAATTTAAAACAACCGACTAATTTCGTTGTTTCGTTACTATAAATAGTATAATAGTAAATAGTAATAACGATATAAATGGAACGTAAAGTAACGCCTGAATATTTTTGCCAGGAGGATGGCCGTAAACAAGCAACAAGCACTTACCTCGTGGACCAAAAGGACTACCCACGTCCGCAACCAATATGTCTTAGTGATGAGCTTCAGATGCAACCTAACATGGTTCACAACACGCACACTCTTTCTCATCCTCATCATCACCACCAGCATTTTATGCATGATAGGACCAGAGCTAGGGATGATCAAAACCTTGGCTATCAAGGCACTATGTCAGGTAACTAACTGGAGTGCTACCTACCTACCTACCTACTAACGATTGCCTAATTGAAAAATGCAAACATTAGCTGCTTGAAGCTGGTTGATTTGTAACGTTGTTTTAACCATTGTGAACCACTTGTGATATGCACAATCGATTCATTTGGCGAAAAGAAGACGATTGGATATAGTTAGTTTCAACGTTTGGCACTTGTTGACTCAAGGAATTAGTTCAAAAATCTCAGAAATGTAACTTTTGATGTTTTCTCTTACGATTTCAATACATCATATTTAATAAAACAAATTGTTTGATATGATTTTATGTCTCAAAAATAAAATATGTACAAAAAAATTGTGTGTCCTCTCTAATAGTAGAAATTCGTTCAAAATATTTCCAATTCTTTAAGAAAAATACGCAGTGCGCAGTTTTTGTTATTCCATACCTTTTGTCGTTAAATTACATTTTTTTTTTTTTTTTTGTCATACTTGACTATTCTTTATCATTTTGTTGCTCAAAAGCTATTCGAAATTTCGTTATTATTACATAGTTACATAACTAGATAAAGCTGATTTAAGCAATATGGCTTTTCATAGTGTCTTCAAATTTCTTCAACAAAGAAAAAAATTTGTCTGCATAAATCCAGCATCTGTGTAGAATGCAGTATAACATTATTTTTAAAACAAATATCTGTCAACGAAACAAATTTATTTATCATTAACATTATAGACAGGTAATCGATGTATTTGTAACATTCTCCTGTTCCATCAAGTTAAGTCAAGTCGGTTCAAGGACCTTAGCTTTAAAATAATCAAATAAATAATGTTCACTGCGCTTGCGCAGAAGAACAAAATACTGGAATTAAAAACAAAAAACAAATGTTAACCAACTGGCAACACCGTTATCCTTTCTCTAACATTCTACATTAATCAATTATAAACTTTACGCTGTCATCAAGTGTGAACTCACTGGAACAAAACGAATTATTTATTGTCTTCATCTTGATGTTTTAAAATTTTCGATTTTGACAATGTACATTCAGGCTATGACTTTATAAAATATGTAAATCAAATTTCAGCAAAATCGTCCAACATAAGTGCCCCATCGCCAGCACCTCCAGCGGACGGATCCTATTACAACATGCCCGACCGCTATCTTTCGTATTCACCACCTCTAGATTTTCAAGATCCGCCTCCAATACCGGCACTTCCTCACGTGGGTCATATGCGCAACCCGGAGCCACCGCCTCTTCCGGCCAATGAATCTCTTCTCCGCCATCAGCGAGATGCCGTTCCATCGCCAGACGTTCTTCACAAAATCAGCGAGAATCCCCAAAGTCTCCTAGCTCAAATTCTTGAACAAGAAGGATATCTTGTCTGAGACAAGGAGGATATTTTATATGCCCCGTAAAATATAAAGTTGCGACTGATGCCCAATTTTGTGAATTTAAAAAGGATCGCTGCAATACAAAGACATTAATAACAGTGTATTTTGCTAAGTTTACTCAACAAAAACTATGTAAAAACAATTGATAGTGCTGTTTAGATATATTGTTAAATGTTAGTTTAAGTTCTGTTTGCATTTTTTTATATGAGTAAAAAATGTTATTTACTAGTCGAATCCAACAACCAAAGTGTTACTTCTTTTAAGTTTGAATAGAATTCTATTTTTCGAATTTTATGAGTTAACATTGCACAACTTTTGTAAGTATGGATTTAATTTTCGTTTTTCTTGGGTCCATTTATTTTCTTTTCTTCTATGTACACAACTTTGTTACGTTAATAAATTTTGTACCTATACATATTAGGAAAACACGATTGTTTATTTAGCTCGTTTAAAAATTTTGTGCAGTGCATACTGTTAGGTCGAATGGGTGATTAATAGTGATTATCAACGCGTGGAATAATATCTCATACGCTCGATTCAGTGCTGCCGCGTCAATACTTTGATTACAAATATATTTTTCCTTTGGACTATATCAACATAATATGATACTTCTGTGGTGCTGTGGTTGAAAAATTAAAAAGGGCACCGAGTATTATTATTTGAAGTTATATAATAATAGGAATATATAGAAGTAGCTTTTTTACTAGCTGTAAACACTCCTAGAGACGCACTGGCCACGACCTTGTGGACCAGATCAAAGCATCCTCGCACTGGTGATTATAAATCGGAGTGAGTAAAACTCAACAATCTATTTCTTACTAACTCAAATTTACACGACTAACTATTACAGCGATTATTATTCTCAGTCATCGATGCCGAAGGTGACTGGATGACTTTTTCTACATTTTCCTGCACCTGTGACAATACAGCACCTATGCCGATGTTGCTCGCGTCCGTGTCCAAGATGAACATTCCCGATTATTGAGGATAGGACAGGATAGGACCCGAGCATAGTGCGTTCTTCAATCTTTTAAAGGCTGCTTTATTTGACAAAAGGTGATCGTGCGTGATAGTGCATGTGTGCAGGTGTGTTGTGCTCCAAAATCTGTTCCTTCCTCTCAGGTTTGAGGAAACAAATTTACACTGAATGAGACATATGTAAAGGGCGTTTCTCGCATTGAGAACAGTGTAATTGTTTTTCGCATCTGTTTAGTCGTTTTTTCTCTGTGTAGTTAGTTTAATTAATGTGTGCAAGAAAACTAGTAATTTTATCTATTGGGTAGCCTCATTTTTTGCCGGTTCCAATCAAAGGTGAACCTCTCACCTTTGATAGGAGTTAGTAATGCCGGGAACGTGTAAAGCATGTGATGGAGACATCAATCGCCGAAATGAAAAGGTTTTTTCATGTTTCCTCTGTAGTAACAAATCTCATGCAAAATGTTTAAAAATTGAAGATGCCGAATTTAAAATCTTGCAGAAATTAAATAATTTTAAATACATTTGTGATGAGTGTTTAATACTTCAAAATTCTGAGAAAGTGGATTCTTTGAAAGCGTCAATTGATAAATGTTTAACTGCCATTGAAAACCAAAATCAAACAATTAACTCTCACGGTACAATAATTAATGACTTGTTGCAAAAAATGCCTAGCTCCTTTCAAAAGGATCATGTTCCGTCCTATGCCAGTGTTACTAATAAATCAACAGTTATTGTACAGCCTAAGAACACTGAGAAAAAAGTATCGGAAACGAAAGCCGAATTGTTAGGAAAAGTTAATCCTGTGGAAAATAATTTGAACATATCTAACGTAAAGTCGTCGCGTAGTGGTGGAGTAATAATCAGCTGCAATAGTAGTAAGGACACTAAAAAAATTGTTGAAATTGTAGAGAATGAACTACGAGAAGATTATAATATAAAACAATTGTCAAATCTGTGCCCCAGAATAAGAATATCAGGTATTCCCAAAGAAATAACCTCAGAAATGTTCTCTAAATCGCTAGTTCATCAAAACCAATTATTGTTTAATGATGTCAATGAAGATTATAAAGTTGTAAGCTACAGTAGCCAACGCAAAAGTGATAAATATCTTCAAGCCGTAGTTCAAATTGACACAGTGTCATACAACAATATAATGAAAGCTGGAAAACTATTAATAGGCTATAAATATTGTAAAGTTTGGGATGCTATCGATGTTCGCCGTTGTTATAATTGTTGTGGTTTCCACCACCATTCTGATAAATGTGATCAGAACTTTCCCATCTGTCCAAGGTGTTCAGAAAAACATAAAGTACAAGAGTGTAAGTCTGATATTCTTAAGTGTACTAACTGTAGTATGTTGAAGGCAACTAATGCTAATATAAACACAAACCATGCAGCCTGGGACATTAACAAATGCACGGTCTACAAATCTCATGTTGAAAACTTTAAAAAAATTATATTTAATTCACAATAGCAATTAAACCCTAATATCAGCGACATTTCTACTTTTTCCGGATTAGCATCTTCAGTTAATTGCAATAGCTCTCACTCAGTACATGATAGAGACCTAATAATCTATTATCAAAATGTAAGAGGTCTTAACAGTAAATTAAATGATTTGAGTAGTTATCTAAATGTTTTCCATTCTGATATATTTGCATTCACTGAATCGTTTCTGAATGACACAGTTCTAGACTCAGAAATATCAAGTAATTACACAATATATAGAAGTGACAGAAACTTTTCTCGTATTAATTGTACAAGAGGTGGAGGAGTCTTAATAGGAGTTAATCCTTCCTTTACTTCATGTAAGCTCGACATTTCTAATTTAGGTTTCGATTCCGTGCCAATGATCGATATTCTAGTTGTCAAAATTAACTCTTCCTTCCAAAATTTTTACGTAGTGGTTGCATATGTACCTCCTAGTCCAAGAACATGTGTGGAAGACATTGATGTATTTTTTGAATACTTAATAGCTCTTTGCTTTACTCTCGAAGGGGACGTAATCATCCTAGGTGATTTTAATATTCCGGCATACTCAGACTCCTTAATGGATCAAACAGGTAGTGATGGAAGGTTAAAGCCCCTTTTGAATTTCTTAGAGATGAGTGGCTATCGTCAATATAATTTCGTACGGAATTCTAATTTGCGACTATTAGATTTAATTTTGTCTAACATTGAATGCAGAGTATCAAAAGCTACTGATGTTTTACTTGATGAAGATCATCATCATCCCAGTCTTGAGATATTTATAAAACACAAATTATCATCTAAAGAAAAAAAAATATGTAACGGCAACTTTAAATCTTACAATTTTCGACATGCAGACTTTGCCCTCTTATATGACATGTTACTAAACGTTGATTGGTCGTTTCTAAAAGACATTACGGAGCCTAATAAGGCAACATTGCAGTTATATTCCCGACTAGATAAAATCTTTGAAGTTTGTGTTCCTATGACAAAGCGTTTCAATAAAAGACAATATCCGCCCTGGTTCACTGTAAATATAAAACAAATGCTAAAGCTAAAATGGAAATTTTGGTTGAAATATAAACGGTTTAGGGATCCTGCGGTATACTCCAAATTCAAGATTTTAAGATCACAAATCAAAATTGAAATAAAAAATGCATATAATGTATATTTAGAAAAAACTGAAAGTAATATACAGTCAGATCCTACACAATTCTGGTCCTTTGTTCACAGGTTGAGATCTCAAAATGTTATACCAGGAGTGATGACTTATGATTCAAAAGAGTTAAATGATCCGTTATCAATTGTCAACTCTTTCGCAAAGTTTTTTCAACAGCAATATATTCAGTCTCAAGCTTCTGCTGTACATACCATACCGTCGCTTCCTAATTTAAACATTTACCATTATAGTGAAGAGGAGGTGTATCAAGCACTGTTAAAACTAAAAAATAAAATGACATCTGGGCCAGACTGTATTCCAGCTTTTATTCTGAGAGACTGTGCTAATATTTTCAAATCTCCGCTTATGCTTATTTTTAACATGTGCCTCAACTCTGGTGTGTACCCCTCACTATGGAAACAGTCCTCTATTTGTCCAATATATAAAAAAGGGGATAAAAAACAAATTGAAAATTATCGTCCCATCGCTCTTTTGTGCAATTTTTCCAAGGTGTTCGAGATCTTGCTACACAAGAGTATTATGCGTCATGTTCAGTCCTACATCTCACCACTGCAACATGGTTTTGTTAAGGGTCGTTCCACTGAGACCAACTTATGTTTGTTTACACAATTTTTATCAGACACAATCGACACCGGCCACCAGGTAGATACGGTGTACACCGATTTTTCGAGAGCATTCGATAGGATTGATCATTTTAAGTTAATTAACAAATTAAATTCTTTTGGTTTATGTGATCGTCTATTAGACTTGATGAAGTCGTATCTTTTTGGTAGAACGCAGTTTGTGATCTGTAAAGGATTTAAATCGGTAGAAATAAATACAACATCAGGCGTTCCTCAAGGATCAGTTCTTGGGCCTCTTTTGTTTATCCTTTTTATTAATGACATAACATCTTCATTAGAAAGTCGTTGTTTACTATATGCGGACGACTTAAAAATATTTCGAGTAATAAGATGCATAGACGACTGTCTCACATTGCAAAATGACCTACACAGGTTATTAGTTTGGTGTTTGGAAAACGGTCTTTTATTGAATATCGGTAAGTGTGGCGTGATGACATTTTCTTTGAAACATATACTCCTCTTGTTTGATTACATGATTGACGATGTAGTATTACAACGATTTGACGTTGTCAAGGATTTAGGAGTGATATTTGACAAGAAATTGTCATTCAACAATCACGTAGAAACAATGATCATGTCAGCGTCGAAATCTCTCGGCTTTGTCTTACGCAATGGTCGTAATTTTCGCAACAGTGAAACATTATCAACATTGTATTTCGCGTTTGTGA